ATCGCCAGCTGGAGCTCGCTCGATCTCTGCCGCTGTATCCGAGTTCGATACTTTCCTTGCCCCGCTATTATATCCAAGCTTAAGTAATTGATTTTATATAGAGGGATGAAAAGGGGGATTCCAGTAAGGTCCCGCTGTAGGGATAGTCCCGCTATTGCGGGTGCGGCTAGAGTTATGTTCCACTGTATATATATGGAGGCTCAAATCCCACCTCGTAAAGGCCCTAATTTGTGTCGATGGAGAGGAGGGGATGGGAGGGGACAGGGGGAAAGCACAAACATTATATGTGTGTTTTTTTCCATTTTTGTACATATTGATGTCTTTGTTGAGTTGTCTTACAGAAGAGTAAGTGCCAGGAAAAAAAGCTGTGAAACTGCATAGTGTGGGCTAGTGTTTTCAGTTTTCAACCTTTGTCTTTAGTGGGTTGCATGATCTCACAGAAAAGCAGCAAAGGAAAAAGAAAAATCACTTAGTTGAACTCAGATAAAGGCATTTAATTTTTCTGTATACAGTGGAGTCCACTTATAACGAGTCCGGAAAAAACGAGAAGTCTGTTATAAAGACACTATTCTCAAGCCCCGTTTTTTTCTCCTCTTTACCTTTGTAAATAAAATACGGCTATAGCGCTATCAGACAAACATGCGAGTCGGTTATACCGAAATATTGCTGCTGCTGTGCACAGTGCATAGGCCAATTATACATAAATGCAAAGCCTCGCCAGTTGAGAAACTTGTTGGTAATCTTGCGAAATAAAGGATAGGAGAGCCCATGTGCGTCAACAATGAAGGCCGGAGCAACCGAGTAGGGAGGGTGTGGAATGCACAGACACGCAGAACGCATTGCGTGATAGGCCAGCGTAAGCCTAATTTAGATTATCAAGGCCTACCATGCCTCTCACTTCTCCGATGCGGGGATGGAGAGGTCACAGCAATGTGATGGATGGAGCGAATGTGTGATGTGCGCAAGCAGACAGAATGCACCACAGGGTGGGGTGGGGTGGAGTGGGGTGGAGTGGGGTGGGGGAAAACACAGCGGGCAAGTTAGCCCAGAGCCTTTTCTTTCTGATGGCCAACACCGAGCTATCAGTCCACATTGCTAGATCTAACGCTAGAGAAAGAAACCTGATTCGATTTTTGCTCAAATAAGACCTAGAGGTCATGTTGAAACAAAATCATCATCAGGGGAGATAGCTAAAGGAAATAGACAGAACACCAAACTCATAGATTAGACCTATTTTACAGTTTCCCTTGAATTTATTACTGAATCCCTTATAGCGAGAATTTTGCTATAAACGGACATTTTGCTCCGGTCCCCTCCTTCTCGTTATATCAGGATTCCACTGTAGTATAAATGTCTTTTTGTTTTTTTTATAAGTGTTTTACAGCGCTTGCAACTGCATAAGGTCATATGAGCGCACGGGACACATTAAACATTTTCAGGTGGTAGGGTGTCGGACTAAGCCTACTCTCAACGATTTTCGGACCCCCAAGGGATCTTTAACTCTTCACTACCAGTCATTTTTGAGGTCGCTATTCCCTGTTTACCAGTCATTTTAAGGGTAATTTTTAAAAAATCACTGTTCTTTTGCTAATTAACATAGAGACTTGAAATTTAGAACATAGTTTACGAGCATAATGAAGATTGCCCTGATGAAATTACCGCTTTGTGTAAAAGTTACTTTTTTTTTCATCAAAAACTGCGTTCCCTTTGCCTTTCTTACTCACATCCTTCCATACTACTGCAACCCTAGATTTAGGTTTTGGGGCCCTACTAAACCTTACTCTTCTTTGCAAATTTCCTCACCCAGTTCATCATAACAATCTTCGACCATTTCATCGGTTTCTATGTCACTTTTGTCGTCAAATGTTCGAAAACTGTCAAAGACAAGCAATCTGCCATTGTGGGAAACGTAATGGTAAATTCAGTCCTAAGAGCGGTTGTCGTAAAAGTCAATAACTCAACTTGCGCAAGTCCGATTTCGGTTTCGTTTCTTTCTAATGAAAGATAATTGAATGGGCTACGAAAAGACGGACCAGTAAATCTACTGCAAATGGCGCTGTTTTAACGTGAGAAAAAAGTTCCAAAGTGCGAAACCACGAGGGTTGCGGGTGTGGTATCACAACGTCGGAGCTACTTTACCCGCAACAGTTGCGGGTGTGGTAGTGAGTGGGTTAATGTGGGCAACTATGGGACCTCTGAGATTTTTCGCCCTTGTCCGAGAAGGCTAGGTGTAGATCTTTCCTACCATAAGATCAGGGGTGTGGCTGAAAGACAGAAGTAAGAGGGAGCCAAGGAGTAGGAGTATGCTGCAGAAAGAGTCAGGAGCCGGGAGAAGGGGGGCAATGGAGGTGATGTGGGTGGGGGCAGAAAGTGGAGACGAAAGCAGAGGAAAGTACATTGCTAGAGAGCATGAAAGGAAGTTAAAGGAGACAATTTTAGAGAGAAAAATTTCCGTCGCTATTCGGATTCGAATCTGGGACCTATTGAATTGAGAGGTGAACACCTTAACCTCTAGGCCATGAGAGCCCCCCCCCTATAAATGTCTAGCATGCACATAGCGGGGGACACGCACATAGTGTATACACATACAGCAAACAGATGTTCAGGTCCTGAATTGTTTCTGTACAGTTAACTCCGCTTGTGTTGTACTCGCTTGAGTTTGTCTTTTTTTTCACTCCCCCAATTATATCAACTCTTCCGTAGTCGACAGTATGTGTATAATTTCTTGTACTTATATAACAACATTCGTACATGGTATAAAAAGATTTCTGTGACCCATGGGTTTTGCTCTTCATGTTACTATGATTTGATATTGTCGGTTACTACATGATTCTTTCTACTGAATGAGGACTTGTTGTTTTCTGCCACAGGTTAGCTCAACAGTGCCACACAGGCATCTCAAGGAAACTGCTTTCTCCTGTCAAGCACAGGAGTGTTGTCAAAGCGGGCTTTCCCTATGTGGATTTTAATGCACGAGGTATGAAAACAGGGGTCCAACCATTGTAGAATAAACAGTAGAGGTCTAAAGTCAATGTCTTTTAAGGTGCTCTTGAGACAACAACAAAAATAATTTTAAAAAATAAATGTGAAAAAAGGCACGGTCGGTAAATACCACCTCCCCCCCCCCCACAGGACCAGCTGGCTGTGCTATTTATAGCGCCCTGCTAGACATGCGTGCCCAATGATTATCTAGCTAGGCTTGCGTGGAGCGGGCAAGATGAAGGGTTGTACATCACAGGATCTATTGTTTTTGCCCCTAAAGTAGCAATCTTTGTTGCTTCCCTTGATTCTCTGACACTGTTCACGCATTTCTCGAACTACGGATCCCTCGAACTACCAAGGCCGGTTCCGACGAATTCGAGCTATCTGTGTTTTGGGCCTACTGTAAATCATAACGTACTGTTTTGGTTGAGATTCTTTTGTCTTTGAAAGAACAGCAGAAATGTAGTAAAGTATTTGCAGGTCAATCGAAAGTAGACAAAAAAAGAGGCAGATTGTCTTACTTTTACTTTTTCATCCTCTGTTGCCATTGAGTGTCGAGGGGAATCCATGAAGTTTTCTATGGTAGGCCAACTCTGCCGCTCTTTCAATTGAAATGTTGTAGTTTCTCAGGGTTCCTTTCTTTGCAGCCTGACTAGATGATGTTGTAGACTCTTGAGGTGGCTGACTAACACTAAGTGACTTTGGTGACAGGTGGCCAAGCCATATTATTTTTTGTTTTTTCATGAAATGAAGGCAGGACTCGATGCCAACAGTTGCCCTAACATCATTTCTCTGCCTGTCTCTTCTTTTCATGTTAAGGGTTTTGATTGAATTTTCAATGAATGATGTCCTAGTCCTACCCAACGCTGACCGGTCACCCATCAAATATCAAACGTAGATATCTAGAATTATGTTACTGTTACTGATATTGTTTTGGGTAGGTAAATATTATAGTAAAGCTGTCAACCTTTAACTTTAACTTATCGAATTATCTTTGTTTTAAAATCCAACTGACAAAATTGCATCCACCTGCAAATTGTAGGCATTCTGTAGATTTTTCACGCCCCCATTGATCAGAATCCTTCTTTCACATCAACCCATGTGTTGTTGACACGACAGTTCTTAGTGTGTGCCAGGGTCAAGAGAGGTCAGCTGTTAGGAGGTTGATGGTGCACGTGTCTGAGGGGTTGGCGGGGGGAGGGGGTGTAGGCACAAGCGTTTCGAGGATGGAAAGTCGACAGAGATACTGACAACACGTCACAATCATATCCACCCACCCCCCCCCCCCCCCCCCCCCCCCCACACTGGACAATGAAAGGCTATTCTAGACATTGATAGATTCATCTGTGTAATGAATTGTGTGCTGGTTTGTGGAAATAGACGTTGCCGTGTGCTGAGCCCTACATTGTGACACAGCTTGATGCTCACTCTGCTATAATGAACAAACACCCAGATTCAACGAAATTGAAGGTCAGGGCCGACAATTTCATTTTTTATATTATATATATATCCGAGTTTCACTGTCCAACAAAAAAATTATATAATCATATACCTGTATGTGTTTGTTCTTCTCTCTTTTTCCCCAGCCATGTTGCAGCCCTGGGGTGTCTTGAAGCTCTTGGAGTTGGCTCGCATAACCTGCTGGTTCGACAGTCAGGAACCATATATGGACTTTGATCAAATGCACAGATTGATATTCATGGCCTCAGCATCTCTACAGATAAAACCTCAGGTATATGATGTAGAGCTGGAGAAACGGCCTATTACAGTCGACTTGGAGCTAGATTATGTTGGCAAAACATCGCTAAAGCTGGCAAATAAAGTGTTTTTTCCTGGTCACTCTGAGCCTCTGGTACTCAGCGAGATGCAGATTGTGTTGGTTGACATGGAAACAAAGAAACCGGCTCCGCCCCCTCAGTGGTGGACCGACAAATTCTCGCGGGAAGTGAACGGTTCTGGGAAACCGCTGATACTTCCCAGCACTCCAGTGCCAACCGACGGGCAAATGGCAGAGGTAGAGGTGCTGGTGCTGCCCAGTGACGTAGACCCGTACGTGCACGCCAGCTCAGCTCAGTACATCAAGTACGTGGTGGAGGCCTACGTACGCTGGCACATTAAGGAGTACGGCTATGTGAACAACGGAGATCCGTTTCGCAATTTGAAGAGCATGTGTCAGAGCTTCAAGGGTGAGGCAAGTATCGGGGATCTGCTGAAGGTGAAGTTTTGGCCGAGTCCGGAAAATCAAGATTTGTTTCACTTTCACTTTCTGAAGGGACAAAATCTCATTCATGAGTGCGTTGCAGAATTCTATCCCTTGGAGAAGTAAATTTTGTGGTACCTGTTTTAATTTGTTTTCGACTCGCCGATTTCGCTTGGATGACTACATGTCCATGAAAGTTTAGGTTGAATTTGGAAAAAAGTGCTGCAGGGTTCAAATCACTGAATACCCGACATTTTTAGCTCTGATTTTTGCACCAGCCATTTCTGATTTCAAGGTGACACCCTTGCCGTTTTCCTCATTTTTAATTACCTGTCCACATTGCTATAATGAGCATTCGGATGCAAGAAAATTGAAGGTCAGGCCCGATGATTGAATCAGAATACAGCGCAGCCACTCTTTAACGACATCGTTGGGACCAGAAAAAAATGTCGTAAAAGAGAGTTGTTGTTATATAGAGGCAACCAAAAAATTACTAATGAATATAGGATAAAATCGGGACCTCAGCATAATGTCGCTCGCTATACAGAGGATGTCGTTATATCGAAGGTCGTTATAGAGAGGTTGCACTGTACAGTCTGTGCCGGCTTTAAGCACGCCAGCATAAAACACGTTCCGGACTCAAGCACACTAAACGGCTCTCACCAAATTTTTGCTATATAAATTACCTGCCTATATTAAGCACGGTAACTTCGGCTTCAGGCACGCTTCATTTACAAGACAGTCAATACTTTCATGATGACCCATCGAAGTTCGAACAGTCTAAACCGCAGCAGAGAGTGTGTTAAGAGAAACACAAAGAACGCAATTGATCGAGACACACCCACACGCTCGAAGAGGAAGGCAGATGCACACAGCCGCGCGCATGGGCATAGGATCTCGCCTAGGACAAAGCTATACTCAGACAACAAAAAAATACAAAGAGAGTCGTGGTGACGAGAACTGGAGGCTGGCTGCGATTTCACCTTTGACTCACGCTATCCATTAATCCTGATTGTGTATCACGCGTGAGGTGGGATGAAGGCGGTGGTAGTGGTATATGAATGTGACATGTGGCACAGCGGACAGTGGTACGCACAGGCAGTGTGTAGGCCTAGTGTGCTGTATCGTGACTCTCCGTCTAAATTCAGTTTTCATTTCCCTTTCGACCACAAAACAAAAACAAACAAGGAAACAAAAACTACCATGGCTGATAAAAATAACAGTGCACACTTTTGTGGAACCGCTATAGGCCTACTTACAATTTAAAGGGAAATAGCACGGGAGATTTTCTACATGAAATTCTCTGGTTTATGTCTACTTCGAACTCAAGCACGCTTCGGCCTTAAGCACGCTTATGCTTTCTCCCGATGACCGTGCTTATAGCCGGCATGGACTGTATTGATTTCAAGCTTAGCTAAAACATTATTTTATAATAAGTTTTATAGAAAGTAATTGCTCACACATATATAGTATATAGGGTGTCCCCCAAAAATATATTAAATGTAGTAGTGAACAGTGTTTGATTTTATCATGTAAATTTATACATTTTTTGGGGACGCCCTGTGTATATATATCATTGTGTACCTGTTACTATGGATATGTTTGTGAGTGCAAGTAGATTTGTGTACCTGTATGTATGTGAGTACACATGTGTTTGGAGGAGAGAATGTATGAGACAGTATGTGTGCATAGGTGAGGGCGCACAGGCATATGTGTGTGTGTGTGTGTGTGTATGGTTTTGTTTGCGTGTACGTGTGTGTGGTTAAGTTTGTGTGTGTGGTTTTGTTTGTGTGTGTGTGTGTTTGTGTATGTGAGTGTGTGTATGTGAATGTATGTGTGTGGTGAGAAACCAAAACAATGTACCAGCATTTGGACAATAAAGATTTATCTATCTTGCCTTATCTCATTGTTATTGATGTTCTAATAAGCACACCAGGGCTCCACTCAGTAACAGTCTTGGTTATTAATAACAGGATTTCTGCTATAGGTTAACAAAGAGACTTTTAATGAATTGCAGAGTCCAATCTCGTATCGTATAGTGAAAAGGTTCTTTTAACCCTATCCATACGTCATGTTTTACTATTGTATCCATACAACGTGTTGAACTCTGTGCCACCACTTTCCAAACAGGAAATTTACTAGTTAACCCGATCCGTATGCTTTGCATAGCGGTCTGTCAAAATTATTTTGTGAGAAATACTGAAAGTTTCAAAGAGATCTTAGTGAAGAATACAACCCCAGGTGTACAAAATGACCCCAGGGCGTACAGATAGGGTTAAAACGAATTGGGACAGGCATGTTCGGCTAGAGTGGCTCAACCATCGACAAAGACCTAATGCAAAGCCTATATGGACACCAAAAAGCAAGTTTGGTTTATGAGTACACACAGTTTGAGAGAGTGGAGGAACACACACTTGAAAAGGCTGTTCGTTTTATTTTGTTTTCCCTGTACAGTCGAACCTACCCTGACGGCCACCTCTATAAGACGGCCACCTGTACAAATGGCCACTTTTCATTTCCCCCTTGCGTTTTTTCTATATAATTTAATTGTGTAAAACGGGCACCTGTTCAACGCGGCCGCGGCCACCATATTTTAACACACAACCCCTATCACATTAAGCAATAACACCTGTCTTAGACGGCCACCTTAGTGACTCCATTACGTTTTGTCATAAATTGTGCATTGGCCCCTGGCATTGTGGGAGAGCTGTCATAATTCAATCACCTGTCGTTGTTGTTAGGTAGTCCCTCCAACCAATCATGTTGCGTAGGCCCCTCCCACTGTTGACCAATAGGTACCAATTTTCAGCAGCTGGTGAGGTAAGCGTGTGATCCCTCATACCCCATAAGCCCCGCCCAGAACTCGTACACAAATCGTAAGTGAGATGAGTGGTCACTGTTTACCCAGTCTGTAACAAAGTAACAATATGATCTTGTGACAGAAGCATCGCTCGTTCTCCAAGGGGTGGCGACCCATTAGTTTGTTTTAACATGGCACTCGGTCTTCGTCGTCTGGTACATTTAGTTTTATTGTCACCCTTGCGCAAAATCAGCAACAAAATAAACATTACAAACAAAATACAAAGCAACAACAACAACAACAACAACAAAATCAAGAACAATGCGGCCACTTTCGATTGGGACCTCAGATTTATGGGAATGGTTTGTTTTCTTCATCTTGATCAGACCTGCCTAAGACTAGGCACTTCAGTGAAATTTTCAAACTTCTCCGAGGGTACTAAAATTTGGATTATTGAAAAGAGCTTGGCTTTCTGTTTTCAGAGCTTTTCAAATTTTTGTGCTATCTTTGTTAGTTTAGAAGCAGCGACCGTTTTTGTGAATCAATTTTTGCCCTGATTTGGCCAAATTTTTGCACTGCATTTTGTGCCACCAAAACTCGAAATTTTGCTTCACAACGTCATAAAATCCTTAATAATAGTTGTATCGTGACCATTGAGGTATCATTTGTTTGCTGTTTTATGTAGAATCAATATATAAAAATAAAAGTCAAGTACATTAAGAGTAAAATTCTATTTACCGTTTAATTACGTCATAATCGTGACGTCGGGAGTCCAATGCCTATTATCTCAAAAAAGAAACGGGCACACTTTCCATAATAATGGTCCGATTTTCAAAAGAAAAACGTCTCTCATTTTGTTTTAAAGAATTCTGTAACTTGCTATTGGGGAAAAATGATTAAAATGGAAAGCAGTTTCAATCTTACATGCATAACTCAAGCAGGAAGTTGGCGGGTGCTCTGGGGTGTGGTTTGTTCCTTTTTCCCCTATTAACAATCAACGGTCCTTATCTCTCCTCGTTCTTTTCTGTGTATGTTACTCTCTTGTAGCACCTCTAATCTTCGGAGCTTATATGACCTATTTGTGTTGCAAGTGCCGTTAAACTCAAGCATAACACAGACTTGAAGAATATGAAAAAAATTCAACAAGTATGGTATAAAGCGGGAAATCACCATAAAATATGACAATTACTGAGGGTCATCATATACAGTCCCCCATCATTGTCACATTATCTTTGTCATCCATGGTGTTTACATATATATATATATATATATATATATATATATATATATATATATATATATATATATATATACACACACCATGCAATGACTAATATCCCGAAGAACAGGGACATCAGTTCTATGATCAACTGAGTGACCTTTTAAACACCATGGATGACAAAGATAATGTGACAATGATGGGGGACTTTAACGGCAGAGTGGAAACAAGGAAGACGACGTGGGAGAGATACATGCGGCCACACAGTGACAGGGAAACAGATCAAAACAGCAATGGAGAAATGCTATTACAGTTGTGTGCAGAACATGAGCTCGTCATATCAAATACCTTCTTCCAACGCAAAAGGAGTCAAGTTAAAACTTGGTACAAATGCAATGATCTAAAGATAGCATCACAAATTGATTTTATCCTAGCCCAAAGATCGAAACTGAGAAAAACAGAGACTCAAGAGTGATTCCCATCTACATCACAGACACTTACCACAGACCAGTCATCATGACTATTGACACACCAAACCGGAAAAGGCCAGAAGCAAAGAAACGATGAGAAGTCGTAAATCTCAGAAATATAAATGACAATAACAAGGATAAGATACATGAACGTTTGAAAGATGTATTTCACAAATTTCCCCCAAAATTGGGAGATATGGAAGAGGAAAGGAGCCACTTCAAAGCATGTGTGTACAGAGCATTAAAAGAAGAGTTGGGCACCAGGAAAACAAAAGGGCAGAAAAAGAAAACAACTATATGGTGGAATGACCAAGTGAAGGAAGCCGTCCAACTGAAGAAAAAGGCATTCAAAAAGTGGTAGAAATCAAAGACGGGGGAAGATTACATCCTATACAGAAAGGACCGCCGCTATACATCAAGGGTAGTAAAAGAAGCTAAGTAAGAACAGATCCTGGTCAGTATATGGAGAACAGCTGGTAACAAAATGTAAAGAAAACCCTTGGGAGTTTTACTAGAGAGTTAAAAAAGCATGAGGATGCAGGAAGAACCATTCAACCAAACTAAAATAGTCAATGATGAGCACGGAAACCCCTATTTTTAGAAAGCCAAAGATTAAGGAAAGATGGAAACGCTATTTCCAGGAGCTGCTGATTCCTACAGCAGAAACAAGAGCAAACAGCTTCTCACCGAAAGAAACCACTCCAGAACCATCAATACTGCAGAGTGAAACCCAACCTGTTATAAAGAATAGCCCCACAAACAAAGTGATAGGCGTTGAAAACATCACAGCAGAAGAGATCAAACTATACGGCCATATCGGAGAACTCTGGCTATGGGGGATATTTAACCTGGCCTGGGCGACAAAAACAACACAAAGCCTACAGAGGAATATCCTTTCTCAGCCGTGTGGATATAATGTTTGCTAAGATACTGGAAATGAGAATGAGACCAATTGTAGACACTCAACTCAGTGAATCCCAGTTTGGCTTCAGAAAAGGCAAGGGCTGTACTAACGGTTTTTTTGCATTCGGACAGTTGTGTGAGACTGCCACTGGACATGACAAGACCTCAATTTCGTCTTCGTGGACCACGGAAAGGCGTTCGACAGGGTAAATAGATGTCAACTTTGGGAAGTCTTAGAGGTTTTAGTAGAGGTTTTACGGCACCCGCAACTGCATAAGGTCACATGAGCGCCAAGGGGTGGGTGTCAACAGAGAAGTCCTTACAAGGGATTCAAACTTACTCTGCTCACCTTTCTAGCTTCTACAGCACAAAGTCTGCTTAGACTATCAAGGCACCCCGGAAACAGCGGGTCACAAGAGTGTGACAAACATACAAAAGAAGTAGAGGAAAATGACGAAAGTAAGGATTAGGAAAGAAAAAGGCGCAGTTCCCTGTTGTAGTTCAGGCATAGTTATGATTTACAATTCTACTGTGCATTAGAACGTCCCCTATTTTGGAACGGCATAAAGACACCTCAGTCAGTGGCATCGCCCCGGGGGGTAGTGTTAGAGTAATATGGTGTTAAAGGACAATTGCTCAAGAACATCATGGCACTTTATAAAAACAGCCTGTGTGCCGAAAGGTTAACAGAAGGACTATCGGACTGTTTCCCCATCACGTCTGGGGTGAGACAAGGGTGTGTTCTCTCTCCACTTCTCTTCATCATTTACATGGATAAGATCACGAAAGCAGCAAATGAAAACATCAATGACTGAGGGAGCTTGTGTTTGCTGATGACCAGAGTACATTAAATACAGATGAAGAGGAATCACAAAAAACACACCACAAAATTAATTAATGAGGAATATAAACACCTATACATAAAAATCTTCATTTCAAAAACAGAAGTTATGAAGGCAAGAAAAAACCCAGGGAAACTCAACATCCTTATTGACGGAACACAACTCCAACAAGTAGAGGAATTCAGATATTTGGGAAGCATCTTCTCACTAGTTGGGCGTAAGGACAAAGAAAAAGTACCATGAAGGCAAATGCAGTGACCTACCAGCTAGCACCCCTTCTCAGTCACAAGAACATCCCAACTGAAGTGATATCCCCAGCTCATCAATAGAATCTTCATACCAACATTAACATACCAGTGCCAAACATGGTCTCTAAACAAGGCATGAGAAAGGAAAATCAATGCACGCGAAATTAGATGTTCCTGCAAAACCACCAACGTCACCAGAGGAGACCGCATAAGGAACGAGACCATACGTCTACCAGTAGTAAATTTACTAGAGCGTCAAACAGTCAAATTGTTCGGACATCTAACCAGAATGCCCCAGAAACAACTAGCGCTAGAGCTTACCACACCTGCGAATCCGGCTTTAAATCAAGAGGAAGACCAAGACAGACCTGACTGGAAGGGGTTAAAAAGGCCCTGGAACAATATAATTAATTAGCATATCTATCACAGACGCCGAAACCTGCACCTCCCCTCGACATCCTAAGGATACCAGAGGAAGGAAAAAGTAAAATAAAGTAAGAACTGAGGAGCAAAAGTGCTCACTTTGTTGCAACTGGCATCTTTCTTCAGGGTTGTTTCATCCGTGGAAAAGAGTAATAGGCTTACACAGCTAATGCCGTGAGTCGTGGAAGGATGGCGGCGGTGGCGATTATAAGACAAATAAGACAAGAAGGATATATAATAGAGGAAATGTATAAAGTTGAAGAGCAGGTAAAGTGGGATGGAGAAGAAAAGAGAGGTACGGTTATGAAAGTAAGAGGGGAGTGGGAACACACGAAACCACACACAGACACACACACACACACACACACACACACACACACACATACACACACATACACACACACCCAGAGAGAGAGAGAGAGAGAGAGAGAGAGAGAGGGGGGGGGGCGGGCGGGGGGGGGGGGCATGTAGTGGATCCCAAAATCCAGTACATAGCATTTTTCGTTCTTGTTCATATGACAGAAAAGAAAGAAAATCTGGATCGGTACTAACAATAGACCTAAGAAACTTTATCAAACAAATAATTGCATAAGATACTTTAATAGGCGTCCCTATTTAATTTTGGACTGTGTTAACAACACTAGTCGCGACTCTTCATACTAGATCTAGGCCCTAGGCCTACGCAATGAAAGGCTTTGGGCAGGGGAAAAAAGGAGGGAGGGGGAGCTCAGTGAAAAGGAAATACTTGGGTCTAAAAAGTCTCGTTTTCTTTATACTATCGAATGAACTAACGCACAATGTGAGGTCAGTGATTATAAAACATTACCAAAATTGATTAACTTTTTGAACTAAAGTTTAAAAATCTCTTGGCGATGTATTTCCCTGTCTCGTACATTTCAAACAATGAAGAGAGGGAGCCAAAAGCTGAAGGCGAAAATGTGTGACGTCACGACTCTGCGCGATGTCGCGGTGGAAGGGTTCAGCTAGATTTTTGCGGATTTGGTTGATAAAAGGGTAAGACAACACTAGCCAAGGTAAGACTTCTACGATAACCATTTAAACGTTTACTGGAAGAACAAAGAATGGTTTATCAACAAGGGTAGTTTGAAAAAAATATGACGAGAAAATTTATCAAAAATCAATGGTTAAAAATTGTCTATTTTTCAACTTCAAATATTTCGAGACTCATTAGTCGCACATCGACCTGGAAAGAAGCGTTTTGAAGGCCATCCACAGGTCTTTAAAGACATGTATCGGACTTGAATGTTGGTCCCCTAAATTAAACAAAAATATGGGCAGTTTGAACCCACTGTCGCGATGAGACATCATGTCCGGAAGCAAAACCCTATGGGACTTTCCGAAGCCAAATGACGCCATAGTGAGCGCGTTCACAGAAGTGCCTACTGAGTTAGACGGCCACCTGTCTTATACGGCCACTTTTCTCCTTGACAATGGGTGGCTGTCTTACACAGGTTTGACTGTATTTTGTAACAAAAATGGGAGGACAAAGTAAAAGACGGGTACGGTCTGAATCCTGATATGTGATGTTGTAGCTACATAACGTACTCACAACAGGCATTATGTAAGGTACATTATTTAACTTCTGGCTAACCCTTCCAACGGAACAAAAACATATGTGAGGCATTGTGGTGAAATCAGGAACTCTTCAAAATAATGAAATGAAAAAAAAAAGGCATTTTTCCACCAGTTTGGCAATTTTAATCAAGATTTTGTTTCTTGGCTAAACACCTTTTATGTTCATATGAAAACCCATTTCCATATGAATTTTACTGAAAACCCTTGTTTTTATTTACTTTCTACTTTTTCCTTCCTCTGGTATCCTTGGGATGTGCAGGTTTCGGTCCTGTGCTAGGTGTGTAGCGTCTATGATAGATATGTTATGTTGTTCCAGGACCTTTTCAACCCTTGTTTAAAGGCACAAAATATAATTTTCAGTTTTCAAGGATCTTAAGCTTTATTGAAGCTACCAAACCTTGGTGGCCATTTTCTCATTAATTTAATCACTGAAACCAGGAAATCCCACCTTCTTCAATAGCAAATATCTCCACTTCTGTTCAAGCTAGATGGATATTTTTTTCACTGAAAGTGAAAGCAAGGTAAATGAATTAGCTTTCAGATGCTACCAATAACTCCGCATACCCAAAAATTGACGATCACCTGATTCCGCCACGTCGTGACACATATTTCTGCCAATTTCACTTAAACTCAAATATAAAGGCAACAACTTCATTGAGCTGTTCAACACACAACTCGACCTCAGTTAAGAATTATTCATGTACATCAAGACAATAGGAATAAAGCAGCAGTCACATTCTGGTGGCTTATATAGAAATCTTCGTGTTAAAAGTGAACTTTATTCTAATAGGGAGATATATAAATAACATTTTTCTCTGATCATGTTTACATGGACCCTGTCTTTCTTCTGCCATAGGACGATATGTTTTGTAAACTGTACTGCTATGAAGCTTCGATTGTGTTTAACTTTACAGTTTAGAAAATGTGACTGCCTTTTTTTTTCACTCTAGTCTTCATGTAATATTAGATAAATTAACACTTGAGCTGACTGTCACAACTTGGAATCAGACGCTGTAGGAAAGTACTCGAGGGTCATTTGCGCCAGCAGTTGGTCCCCTCTGTTCACGTGACACCGCACCACATTCATCTCTCCTGCTTGCTGCCACAAATGTACATCTATTGTCTCCCCTTCCTTACACTCTTGAAAGTAAACGATGCGGAAAGTTTTCAAACCGTTCTTGACAACATCTTCTGAAATACCCTGAAACACCGAACTGCTTAATTCATTCGACTGTGGAGATGGGGAGCCAGAAATATCACTGGACGTACCGGTAGATCTACCGGTACTGGAAAAACTTGTCCGTGTGTTGCTTTCACTACTGGACTTCTCCCTCGGCAACTGTGTGGCCCCAGACACTAGGGCCTGATGCAAGGCATTGGTGGCGAACCGTGCGTAGCTGGCGTAGTTTGTATGTTGGTACCAGTCAGTGTCCGACCATGCCACCTGCAAAAACAGTTTAGTTTTCATTTAAGTAACAGTTTGACCCCATTTACAACACAAATAGTTCATACAAGTGCAGAAGATTAGAAGGTACCAGACTACTAGCAGTATCTTTTAAAATAAATAATAAATGGAGGAGAGATAAGAGCAACAGATGTTTGATTGGAAAGAAGTCAATCACACCAGAGCACCTGTCAATCATCCACACAAAAACAGAGGAGACAAAGAAAAAGTGTCGGACTGGGAAACATTATCTTATTCCATAAAATACAGTGGAAATAGTCCAAGATGGCTGCGCACTGTCAAGGCGAAAAGTGACTCTGAGACTGGTGGAAGTCTTGGACAATGTTCTATCGCAAGGGACTGGTGGCCATTAGTTAGAGCAGATTCTACTGTCCTGCAATAGGAAACAGACCGAAGAACGCAATAACCGTTTAATAATATTATTTTATGATAATTTCGCTAATGTTGTGAATCCATGAGATGGAAGATAGTATTGTCCGTTTTCTACTACACACGTAAAGTGGAAACCAGATATAACAGGGATGGTGGGACCAGAGAAAAAGTCCTGTTATATCTGATCCCTGTTAAATCAGAAACGCAAGGGAAGTAAGCATTTGTGGACTAATCCAGTTGTATTTATTCATGGGTAGTTTCCTTTGCCATAAGTAGGCCTACCCTGCGCACGACACATGCGTGCGTGTAGCTAGGCTCAAAGGGCTTGATCGAAGTCTGCAGCACACCGCAGCCCTCTCTTGCTTCACCCAATGCGTGTGTTTGTAGTGGTGTGGCATGCGTGGGCTTGCTCCTTCACTGTGTTTCTCTCTCTCTTTTACTTTTTACCCATTGTTAATGAGCCTTTGTCTCTGCTATAACTATAACCAGTGGGGCTCCGATGAGGCCCTGTCACTGCCGATAACTTCTTATAGAGACAAAGAGTAAGAAAAAACTGGGATATCTCTGATACTACCAGATCCCTGTTATTATCAGGCCTGTTAAATAGGGTTTCCCACTGTACATTGTACATCTATGTAAATCTTCGAAAACAAAAGGATAACCCCTCAATAAAATGCCATTGCTATGTAGACATTTGAAAACAAATAATTCTGATTTTAATCAAGATTATCCGGATCACTGTCCCGCTGTTTTTAATAAAATGGTTGTATAGAAGGTTGTCTTACACTACTTCCACAATGTCATTATAATGTAACAAAACCACAAGGGGGGAAAGGAAAGGTGGCCTTATATACAGGTGATTGTTTTGTACAAGTGGCCTTCAGAACAGGTTTGACTGTATTAACAAAGAACATATTATATGGATCTATCTCATTCCAGTCCAATTTCTATTTTCAGTCACCTAGGCTTGCATTTTCCCTAGACAAATAATCTATGATAAAAAGATGCTTCCTTACCTTCAACTGATAGATAAACGTATTCCCTGGCTTTGCAAATCTTTCCAGTGAGAACGGCTTCTGGAGAACCCCTTCATGTCTATATTTGTCACGAAACGGTTCTGGTAGAGGGACTGGCTTCCTGCTCACTTTGTCAACAGTGACAAGTTGCTTGACGTGAGAGAGCAGAAGTTGTCCAGTTTCTGGGCTCAGCAGTTCCACACAGACGGAGACAGACGATGTGCCAACTCTCCCGAGACATAAGCGAGCTTGCAAAGGCCATTTGGGCAACATCTGGTTTTGCATGGCGCGAGTCATTGAGAATTCAGCTGACTGGACAAAGAGCAACCTGCCTTGTGTGATGGTTGGCCATGAGAAGACGGTGCCTCCCCCGGGCATCAACTCCGAGTAGAATGCATAATTCTGCACATCTACAGTAAGTGTCAACAAATCGGAGATATCAACCTTGCCTGTCAAAGAGAACAAAAATCAAAGTAAGATAACATAGATCAACACTGGACGCATTTTTACTTGTGATGAAATATGTAGATCAACACATGAATTTAAAATTAAAAGAACATTTTCAAAAAAATCCATCAAATCTTTTTTACACATACCATAACAACAGATTTCAAATTGGTGAAAAAACAGTTCAAATACCAATAAAGTCCACCCACAGACACACATTTCTAAAACAGTAAAACCACATTGAATTTAAAACAAGCTTCACACATCAAATGAAATTTGCTTTTAAAGGCATAGTAAAACCTCACTGATTTTATTGGGATCTGGTTCTTTCCAGCCGAAGTGTAAAGATTACCTTGCTTTATCCCAGCGCGATAATCCGATAATCATTTCTATAACCCTATCCAACTTTATTTTATGTCAATTTGCTTCTCACCACAAAATACTAAAGCTGCAGGAAAGCTATCTCTTCTGAACAGACATAGATTCACACCTGGCCCCGCGGAAAATTGCATTTTTGAAATAGAAAAATTGCAAAAAATTGCAAGGTAAACTGCCTAAAAATTGCAAAAAATTGCAACCTTCCCATCCCAGGCGCATTAATACGGGCATTTTTAGTTTAAAAAACATGACAATTTTGAGTACCGGTAGCATAAAAGCAGCTCAGCCTTTTAAAAAATCATGACAAACAATACAAATTCATCAAATTAATGTTATTAACAACATTTACTAGTGACAACAAAGGAGTACGTTAACAATTAAGTTATCGACCAAACATAATATGATAACGCGTGACTCAAAATAACGGAACCCTCGGTTTTTCAAATTCACACTTACAATGAGTTTTTCTTAAATCACAAAAATACTTTTCCCTTTAAGAATAAATCACCATCTCTCTATATCTCATTACAGGGAAATCGGAGAAGACCAGGATATCAAGGGGCACAGGGTTGGTGATTTAAATTTTTTTTTTTAAATGATTAAAATTGATTTTAAAAAATTTAAATCAGATTCTTTAGATTTAGATCTAAATCAGATTTTTCGGATTAGAATTATTTTTTTTAAATTGTCGACACAGTTCGGAATTTTTAGTGGCTAAAAGTATGTTCTTTTACTTTAAAATGCATTGTCTTTATTTATTTTAACTAATGATTAATTTAAGCAACTGCAAAAGAAAGCTATAATCAGCTACATCAGTGAATTATTCATGGCTACAGACAAACAATGAAGAAAATGTCAGTCTAAAAGGAAGGGGGGTAATTATGCATAGATAAACTTGCTTTTTATTACTACAGTGTGTGTGTGTGTGTGTGTGTGTGTGTGTGTGTGTGTGTGTGTGTGTGTGTGTGTGTGTGTGTGTGTGTGTGTGTGTGTGTGTGTGTGTGTGTGTGTGTGTGTGTGTGAGTGCGCTTGTGTTTGTCTAAAAAAAAAAAAAGAAAGTGCTAATTTCAATTATGAAAAAAAAGTCAATAGAATACTGTAATATTGTGTTTCTTTTCAAAATCTTCAATCCCAAAAAACTGAATAGGTAATTTCAACATGATCTAAATTGTTGGTCGTTGTAATAGGCCTACCGTTAATATTGTATGAAAGTGATTTACTTTCAAAATTCCTTCAGTTTCCATTTAGTTCCTTGCATTATGCAATAATATCTTAATTATTATTTTTGTCACATTGTTTGTGATATATTTGTTAATGTTTTTATTCTCCTCAGTCAAAATTGATTTGATCTGACATTCAATAAATTATAAAGTTAGCAGTTAATAAATCTAGACATTTCCTTACTCTGTGTGTGTGTGTGCGCGCGCGCGTGTGTGTGTGCGTGCGTGTGTGAGCATGTGTGTGTGTGTGCGTGAGTGTGCACGTGTTTCTGTTTGTCTAGAAAAAAAAGAAAATGCTAATTTCAATTAGGAAAAAAAAGTAAATTGAATACAGTGGAAACCATATATAACAGTAACAGGCCCCGTAATAACAGGGATCCGGTAATAACAGGGATTTTTAAAATCCCCGTTTTTTCCAACTCTTTTCCTCTATTTAAAGTTATCGGCAATAACAGGGCCTCATCGGAGCCCAACCGGTTATAGCAGGGATAAAGGCTAGTTAACAATGTGAAAAAAGTAAGAGAGAGTGAAAGAGAGAGAGAAAGAGAGAGAGAGAGAGTGAGAGAGAGAGAGAGAGAGAGAGAGAGAGAGAGAGAGAGAGAGAGAGAGAGGACGACCGGTCAGCCTAGATCTAAGCCTACTTCTTTCATTATGGTCACCAACGATGTCAAGCGCAAGAGAAAATGCCTGCAATTGACAAAAAATACTAAATAATCCAGACTGTCCACAAAAAGCAAGCTCCACTGGCAGAGATTTGTCGTCAGTTCGACATTCCACAAGGGTCGATTCCCACCATTACAAGGATAGACACAAGAAAGATAGTGGCAGCATACTCCAATGAAAAGTTTGCTCTGGATTGAAAGAAGATGAGACTACCTGATGCAGATGCTGTGGACCAAGCTCTTCTGATGTTGGTGCTAAAACTCCTGTTCGTGGGTACTTGTGGCCAGCGAAACTACCCATGAATAAGTACGGCTAGATTAGTCTACAAATGCTCACTCTCCTTGCATTTAGGATTTAACAGGGATCGGATACAACACAGGACTTTTTGTCTACTCCCACCATCCCTGTTATATCAGGTTTCCACTGTACTCTATTATTTGACAGTGGCGGGGGAAGGGGGGGGGGGGGGAGCAGACTTTTAAGCATAATTATTATATTGAATACTAAACCTTATATATTTGTTTTATAAAAAAACAACAAGGAAAGGCATTCTAAAGGTTCGAATATGTAAAAACTGAATGAAAATACATTTTAAAAAAGTGATTTAAATCACTTTAAATTTTAAAAATCAGAGCTGTTAAAGTACTTTTTAAAAAGTACTTAAGTATAAATTTAAGTACAATCTAAAAAATGTACTTCTATAAATGTACTTGAGTACAAGTACTTTAAAAAAAAAGTACTTATGAGTACATTTTGAGTACTTTCTGCTAATATGCTAAAACACTTCAGCACTTATGCAAAACATCATATTTTATAACTTATCCAGTATATTTGACAAATTAGGCTATTTATTACTAAAAATGTAAACAGTATACAAAGCATTTGAATATACAATGTACGCACTGAACGGTGGAAATGGTCCGTGAAGTTGAACAAAAAACAACCCAAACGAACAGACGCAACTAGTGGGTAAGTGATATTATGAATAGAACTTGTTTGAGCAAGACAATGTGATCAAATGTAAGTCAGTCCTAGAGGTCAGAAAGTTCTACAGAAAGAGTATCCAAATTGAAAAATGTAGATACAAAGTTGCTCTTAAGAAAACATAAAATTGATGAAAATGGCCCGCATAGAAATGGAAAAGTGCATTGAATTCTTCATTAACAAATCCTCAAGGAATCAATGTAGCCTTAAGCAAAAACCACCCAAAAAAGTTTAAAAGAAATTTAGGCAGCCTAAAAATTGTTAGATACACATTGAGAACACAGTTTCAGTTTCAATTGATTATAGTGGTCTGACAGATTTTGGTCACACTGTGTAGTCCACGGTGCCCACGGCAAACCAAAATACAATAGTTTCCTAGAGTCTAGTAAGTGTAGTGTACCGGTAACCAAAGATTCTCTACTGCAGTAGTCTCCGCCTAAGATCCCAGTGCTCGGAAGCAAGGAAAATATGGGATCTTAGCAAACGAAGCCAAGGAAGAATCTACAGTGACCCATGAACTGACGTGACCCTTGGGTGGATTTATGACATATGGCAAGCAAAGAGTGGTCAACCTTGATGTCCCACCCCCCAACCACCTTTGTTGTTACGCACCATTACGATGTGACCACACTAATTAAAATTCAGGTTGTCTCGCAAATTCGGGAAAAACTGCTTTCAATGGTCAGGGAAGAGTTCACAGTTTGATGTGATCCCGCCTGGAGCGAACTTGTAGGCCCTCCCACCCAGGGAGTGATGTAAGTTTAGGTGTGAGCTCAGATGCGAGTGCGATGTTTGGGGAAAAGAAACGCATCGGTCAGTTCACACCTTGGTGTGATCCCGTCTGGAGCAAACACTGTACCGTTTCAAGGAGTTTTACAACGCTTGTGATCACATTCACGATAGTGGCTGATCTTTGAGGGGACGGCCGTTCTTTGATCTCAACTTTTAACTCTTGGCGGTTGATCGGGTTTTTGTTCCGTAAATTATGATCAGAAATGCCTGCACTTACCCTTTCATTAAGCTACCAAAGTACTCAAAATGTACTTAAAAAGTACTCAAAAGTACTTTTATAAAAAGTATCGGAGTACAGTAAAAGTACTGGTTTAAAAAATGTACCGGAGTACAGTTAAAGTACCGAAAATTGTAACGTAAGTACAAGTACCGGAGTACCTGTACTCCGTTACTACCAGCTCTGAATATTATAATATAATAATTATATCTGACTCTGCGCAAATTGAATTCTGTTATATTATAATAGCCAGGTTCATATATATATAAATTACTTTTACACTTATTGACTTATTGACAAAAAAAACGAGGATTTGATTTATGTTATATATCCAAGTTCCTCTAATAACAGAGGCTGTTATAAATGGGCTGGACTGTATATTATTACCCTTGAACACTAGGAAAACATTCTTGACTTCCCAAGAAGCACTTCATTCGGTGCAACCAGCTGATGAGCGCTCAGACACTAACAAACTGACATGATCTTTTGCTGTCAATAGCTGAGTACCCATTCCCATCTTAGTGTGAAGTGAAGAAAATTTGTGTAAATTTAAGTACCTTTCTTAAGAACACAATGTCAGGCCCCTGCATGATGAGGTTCGCACCCATCAGCCTAACCACGAGACCACGGACGCCAACAGGTAATTATCTTTGACACGTTGTCGTTAGGACAGAGTCGACCAGACTTTGACTCAAACAGAGATCTCCACTAGTCTAGAAAAAGAAATGTTATACACAGTGAAAAGAGAGAAACTTTACAATTCAATACAAACCATAGTTGTCAAAACTGGAAATACGCAAGCCAGGGTGAAGAAATGTAACCATAAGAGGTTTTGTGGACACGTGGAAATTGCTTTCTCCATTCTTGAAGTTCTGTATAAACTTTCTCCAAAGTGGCCAAGAGCTTGTTCTAAATGTAAGGGAAAAGAAAAAAAACATCCATTTCTCAGACAAAGAAAAAAAAGTTAATTTTTTGGTGAGTGTATTGCACATCATTATCGTGAACTGGACAAAAAAGATTTGTCAAAAATACTCATGCTTTCTAATGTGATCTCACAATATATTAATTTTAAAATAACTAACAAATCCTATGATGTCAATATGCACCAAATTTAAACAATTTCTTGGTAAAGAGATTCCAGCGATTTTATAAAGTTCCAGGCCTTCTCTTCATTCTTGTACTTCTCAAAATAAAAGTTAAACCTTAGGCCTACAATAGTTTTTATCACGGAATGCAGTTCCCTGTACTTTAACGAATTATATTATTATCTGGGCGCTATTACTACAACTTTAGATCTAGAATCTAGATCTAGACTATATTCCTTTTTTTCTTGGGGTGGGATGGGGTGGGGCAGGGTGCGGATTCATGAATATCCCAGCACAGACAAGGTCACTTGCCTAGATCTATATCTAGAGATCTAGATCTAGATCTAGATATATATATATATCTAGGTGTCGCGTAATTTGCAATCACAGAGAGACATTCAACAACATCAATGATCATTAGACGGAGTTTTGTAAAATACCACATTGAGTCATAACAAAAACAGAGAATGAAACTTACTGATAGGCCATCGGGAAAACCCTTCGTGGCAGTCGACAGCAGCCCAACAGAATATTTTGGAATATTTTCACTCAAGGCGAGTGCAATGAAGCAAACAAAAAGAGTCGTAATCCGAAATGTAGAAAGCAGAAAACTGGACTTTGGTCTTGTTTCGACGGAGACTGCTCCGACTGTCATGGAACACATATTGAACTTTGACCTTGACCAGTTGCCACGGACACCTGATTATAGCGGAGACAAAGAAGTAGAGACGCACCACTCCCATAGATGTACACTATAGCAGAGAAATACTCTCTGACTATAGTTTAAAAGGGGGTAACTCTATGATCACTCCTCGATTCAGGCGAGACTGGGGTTAAGCATCCGGTGAAAGTTTCACGCCGTACAACTAATAGTCTGTTCCTCACAACCGAGGAATCACCTTATTGTTTTCATAGTAAATTAAGCAAGGGGGTTTGTCTGAATGGGTTTTTAACACCATTTCTCTTTCTATACAGTCACTAATTCATTCCCAAATCCACTCATGTAAGAAAAGATGGAGTCAGAAACATTCTAGTAATTCTAGTCAAGATTTTGATTAAAAATTCAAAACATACCATAATGCATGTTTCCTTTCGTTTTAGTAGAGGTTTTACGCGCTCGCAACTGCATAAGGTCTTGTGAGCGCCAAGGGGTGGATGTCAACAGACGAAGTCGTAACAGGGAATCAAAATTACTCTGCTCACCTCTCTAGCTTCAACAGCACAAAGTCCCCTCTTTGGGAATGGCCTAAAGACACTTGGTGCATGTTTCCTCTCGGTCAGTATAATTATTGACCTATCTTGGTCTCGTCCCCTTTCCTTATTCCTAGCCGCATCTCACTACATTAGTGCGCACAATATGCCAAATCTTTTCTATTCTTCTACTTTAACTTTAACTCCCTTTTCTACTTCTTCTTCTTCTTCTTCTTCTTCTGCCTCCTCTTCTTCTTCTTCTTCTTCTTCTTCTTCTTCTTCTTCTTCTTCTTCTTCTTC